CATGAAATTATCTTTGGGTAAATGAGTTTTATGAGTGGGTGCAATTTTTTTTGAATTGCTTCATTAGTTTTGAAAATATGACTGAAAACGCAAAAAGCGAAATTAACATTAAGGGGTACGAACTTTGAATCGCTCTCCTGACCAAACTATGGGGACCACATTTCCCAGATTGCGGCTACCCCCTATATTTTGAAGATAAGAAATCCAAATATGTAAAATAAAATGCATGTTTATTCAGAGAAAGTACGTTTTTGTGTCTGATTTCGTAACTTCATTAATAGTTAGCACTAATTAATTAGCATATTTGAGGTCACCCCCAGGAACCATTAAGATTGACACTTAGTTCGTGAGAATCCGATCATTAGAACGAAAGTTATTCAGGGTGATTCGTTTTTTTTTTGCGGACTGTACTAAATAAATACTTAATGTACTTAATTTCAGTAACTTTTTTCCGAAATTTTTGAACCAGAACAGTATTTTTAACTGCTCCTGTTAAAAATTTATTATATGATTTTTTTGATTGATTCCTGGCCTTGTAGATGCCAAATAGTTAAAAGTCAATTGTAATGTTCAATTTAGTGAGAAACCATGCCACAAACTGTATTGAAATTGTGTATAAATCGTGTGTTCCTACTAGAATGCACTGCACTTTTAAGCAACTTATATTATTAAAATTTTGGTAGAAATTAATTTCTAACTAACTAAGGATAAATTTACAGAGCCGTTAAACAACTTACATTATTAAAATAACTTAGAAATGAATTTCTACCGAAATAATGGTAATTTTAGTGCAGTGTTAAACAACTTATATAATTAATGTAACTTGAAATAAATTTTATCGGAATTCTGGAAATTTCAATGCCCTGTTAAACAATTTATATTATAAATACAATTTAGAAATAAGTTTCTATTTGAATTCTGTCTAATTCAAAAAGCTGTTAAAAAAATTTATGTTATAAAAATAACGTAGAAATTAGTTTTTACCGACATAGTGGTTAATTCACTGCGCTGTTAATTATTAAATTTTCATTAAAATAATTATTAAAATTAGGTTATTATTAGGTTATATTACTAAAATAATTATATTATTGTATATTATTAATATATATATTATTCATATATATTATTAAAACAATTATATATTAAAATAAGGTTTATATTATTAAAATAAGGTAGATATTAATTTCTACCTAAGTGATGGTAATTTCAGTGATCTGTTAAACAACTTATAATATTAATGTAACTTAGGAATAAGTTTCTATTTTAATCCTGGTAAACTCAATGCGTTGTTAAATAAATTATGTTATTTAAATAACTTGGAAGTATATTTCTATCGGTATTATGGTAAATCAATTGCGCTGTTAAGCAACTTACATTATAAAAATAACGTAGAAGTTAATTTCGTCCGAAATAATGGTAATTCACTGTGTTGTTAAGTAATTTATATTATTAAAATGAGGTCGAAATTAATTTCTACCTAAGTAATGGTAATTTCAGTGATCTGTTAAACAGCTTATATTATTAATGTAACTTAGAAATAGGTTTCTATTGGAATTCTGGTAACTTCATTGCATTGTGAAACAACTTTTATTCTTAAAATACCATAGAAAATAATCAAATTCAAAAAGTTAGCAGTCGTTTCCAAACTATAAAAAATATCTTCTGTGCAAAACGGAAGAACTTAAAATGGAAGAAGCTGATTTTATAAAATAACATTTTTATAAAATATAATTTCCTTAAAAAGTAACATTTTTGTTTTATAACGTTTGCACTTAGCAAAAACAATATAGCTAGCACAACATAAAGCATATCGAACCAGCATATAGCATTACATAGCATATCGGTTATAAAAAAAAATGTAAGCTTACCATTGAAAACTGGCGCACTATCGGACAGATCAAAACAAAACAACGCCAAGGTAAATAAGAGAATTTTTTGCGTATCCATTTGCTTTATTTACAAAAGATGATAACCGCCGTTCAGTTCCAAGAAACGGATCGAAATGAAAGATTAAAATGAATCAATAGATGTTATATTTTATGATATGAGTGTAGGCGATAAAAGTGTGACACCTCTGATAAGAAATCGAAAGAAGAGATAAAAACAATGTAAAGTATTACAATAAAGAGGTAATGTTTATGAAATGATTGTGACACTCATTTTTAAGTTAAGTGCTATTTTTAAATTTTACTAACTAAAATGAGTCATCACTCCCTAGCATAGGAAGATGAATGATTTCATTGATTTTGGTTACTAATACTATCATTCAAAACACATGAACGGGTCTGAGTTGTGGATCTGAGGGATAAAGATGAGTTAGGCAAACATTTGGAGTACAAACCACGTAAAGATTTATAAACAGAGCCTGCAATCAAACATGATCACTGAAAACATGAATGAATCTGACCTGTAAATCTGCTGGATATAGATGAATTAGGCAAATCATTTGGCGTACAATGACTACAGACTTAAATGGAGCCTGCAATAAACCACGGACAGAATGGACGGAAAATTATAGACAGACAGTTTTATTTTGATGCTCAAACTTAATATTTCCCGCTAACTTTAAGAAAGCTGCCCTTTTAAAAAGATTAATGTTGGAAAAAATTGCTCGAAAAAATTACTAATATTATTTATCAACTTTAGCACAGTAATATTGTTATGTCTGGAAAATGTTCTATATGCTTTATTTTGTTAAACGGCTAATACTAAAAATAGAAAAATTTAAAAAGATTCTAAAACCATGTTGTTGTTTTTTAGAATCATCATCTCAAAACATTGTTCTTTTTCTAACTTATTTCCTTAATACTAACCTAAGATATATTAAGAGATTTTTGGATTACAAATTATTTTAAAGCTGTGAATATTATGTTCAGCAAACAGTTTTGGTACACTGTTTTTTTGAAATTATAAATAGATTTTGGATAGATGAATAAAAAATATATGTTCAAAAAATTTCGAATAGGAATTTCGAAATTACGAAAAATTTCGAATTAACTTGTTCGAAATAATTGACTTACAAGGGAAACTAGGGAAGTGTGACTCGCCAATTTTGAAATAAACTAGTGGGATGTATGCCTTATGAGGAATAATTTTAGGGGGCAACATTCGTTTCGGCCCATAGAAGGTCCTGTGAGAGATAAAAAGTAATTCAACATATAGAAAAATCGATATTTTATCACTTCAATGCAGACTAATAGTTATTGTAATTGTCTCATACTCCAATTAATTATTAATTAATTGGTTAATTAATTGATTTGCTTATCAACAAATTAATTATTTTATCATTAATTAATTGATTATTAATTAATTGATTTGTAATTACATACTCCAATTAATTTGAAAAGTTTTTTGGAAAAAAAAATTTAAAAAATTTGATGTCAATTTTTTTTTTTTTTTTTTTTTTTTTTTTTTTTT